CATAACTCTGCTGATATCATCTTGCCGATAGAAGTTTTCTACAGCCTCTGAAACATTCTCTGGCAACTTTTTTCCAGTTTTTGGATAAGGGGTAGCAAGGGTGCCTTTTTCCAATGATAAATGCATTGCTTGTGTAGCCATTCTTTGAGAGCAGCCCAAGGTGGCCATTATTTCCTTTGACTCCATGTTTGCACAAAAATAGTCAGAACTGTTATCTTTTCACTTCTACTTTCAGTGCTGCGAAATTTTGCAATTAGCTTTTGCACAATTTCTGCTGGCATTTCATCTTCCTCATCCCAAAGAAACATCCAAAATCAACGATAGAGAGGAGCCACATGCAGCATCAAATTTTCTTTCAAGGGTGTCACACACTCTTTTCTTTTTCTGAGAAAGGGAGCACATCTTGACTTTATTTTTTGTTGACTCAGAGGGCTTTCTCCGATTTGCCCTAAAGTTTCATTTAGGCTTTAAATCTCGTAAACTAAAAAACTGCCTTTTCAGTAATGTACTAAATGCTTTCACCAAAGTCTGAAGTCTGTTTGAAGTTTCTAAAGCACGTTTCTTACATTGGTTTTTTATTTACTGTTTCCTTGTAATAGACAGGTGCTATTGAAGAGGACTTCCTGGTTTGACAATTACAGGATAAGAACAGCCAATTTCAGAAATTATTTAAAATTGATGGGCATTCTTAAATCATAAAGTTAAATAACATGTTTAGACTAAAATTCACTAACATGCCATTAATGGAAAGTTGTCATTTCCTGAATTAGCAGGAGGTTTTCATTCAATGATTGCCTTGGTAGACTTGATGCTGTTGCAGTGAAAACAGCAATTTTAACACATGGACCAAGAAGTCCTCTAAACTCTCCAACAAATCCAAACCATTTCCTGAAAGGAGTTCCTTGTGTTGCAGTTAGGCCCCTGCCAAATAAAGAAAAATTAAATATAGTATTTAATTAATTTCATATACTGAACATCTAAATTGAGCCGTTTACAAGATACCTAAACAAAATATGCTGTACTGCTAGTTACATAAGGACTGAAGAACTTTGATGATTTGCTCTGAAATGTGATAAATTATTTATTGCTTCTCAGTTTAAAAATGACAGTTGCAAAAAGATTTGATTTAAATATGGATTCAAGCTGAATTTTCACTGAATTTATGAGCTGCCTTTAAAAACCTAAATAAAGCAATGTTTGTTTCTACAGGATTTTTTCAGAAATTCTTGAATAAACACATTTACAGAACTACATTGCTTCAAAGCATGTTTTTTCTCTAATCACGGTGCTCAATAGCTTGACACAAACAATCAGAAATGCAGGCATTTTATTCATCTAGCCATGTTAATATTATATTGTGGTGTACAGAAATATAGGGACTGCATCTGTATTTTTAAGCATATTTTATTTGAATTATGTATCCATTAACAAGTTTTTTTCAGTAAACAAACTTTGCTGATAGATTTGCTTTTGTAGGCAAGAGTAAAATGTTTCCTATATTTTCATAAATATCAAAATCGTGCACTTTTTCAATACCTATTCATAAAATCACAAACAATGGCAAAGGACAAAGAACATTAATAATTAAAAGGTATACATAAGGCATGGTAGTTATATTTGGTATATACCACTGTGTAATACAATGTGCATCGTCAAATGCAACTGCAACACATAGGAAACATGTAGTTTCTGGAAACATGTAGACATGAGAAATGTACGTCACTTCAGGAAGCTAGCATTAACTCAGGTGAAGTAAAAATGCAAGTGAAATCTTGGCCATATTTGTTGTCTTTCAAAATACTGTTCACAACCTCTTCTGTCTGATCTGCATAGATTTCATCTGGTTTCAACCCTAAACACTGGTCAAGCATTAATGATTGCAGCGTTGAAACAACCAGAATACAACTGGATATTGGATTTTGATCTAGCAAATAGTCTTCAACAAGAGGGATGGCTTGAAAAACGAATGATTTACCATATCCAGTTGGAGCACTGAAATAGAGGACTTTGCCTTTTGCAACTTTTTGGAATATGATTTGATTGGCTACAAAACAATATTAAAAAAGTGGTTTGAACAATAAACAAAGAGATATTGTTGTTCTTCAAAAAAAGGCAGGACAAGCTTTAACACTTTATTTCACAGACTCTACTTTTCCCATAGTCGAGTCTGCACACAGGCTACATGCTGAACGCCAAAACATCGAAACTGTGAAGGATGTTGCTTGCGAAACATCAACAAGAGTTAGACCGAAACTGAGAAGAATGTTGTTTGCAAACCATCAACAAGAGTTAGGCTGTCAGCCCATGATCTCAGGATAGTGAGTACAACATTAATTATTATAGGTCAATATCTACCAAAACAATCGTTTTAAGCATGCAAAATCTGTGGACCTCTACAGAAGTTCATTTGGCGCAGTCACCCACTAGTCCTTGGGAAGTATCCTGCAGGAGATATTATGACAAGTTTTGGTGTGCTGATGTCAGGAGTCAAAATCAACCAAACCTTGTTGATGTTGAAACATATGGGATTACCTTCTATTTCAAGGAGAATGTGTTGCTACTAACAAAGAAAATTCCACTTCCCAATGATACAGAAGGTTTTGAAAGCTTATCAAGACAACTTGCTCAAACAAAAAAGTGGATGGTAGTACATGGAGTGGAGATCGAAGATTTGATTCCTTGAATCATAGTGCCAAGTATGGCACATATTCCCTTTATAAAAACAACATTTCAGAAATAGCCCACATTGAACTTCTTCAGGTACAGTTTTCACATATTGTAAAAATTATTCATTATCAATACCATTTCCTAACTATCTGCAAGTCAAAGGATGATTGACACTTCAAGGTGGTATTTTCAAATTTTAACTTTTAAAACCATGGTATTCTTATATCTTAAAACATACAGACTTGTTGATATAATCGTCTTTGACCTCTACAATTCAAGGGAATTGTTTGTCGATAATGTGTAATTTTCTGGCTTAATAGATATATATTTGCCTTGCAGTTCAATCAGTTGGGAAGCAACACAAAAATTGAGCTTGATGGAACAAAGATATATATTGCATTTATTGAAAAAAATTCCTTGCTTACCAAGGCACTAATAACTGATCGACATAAAGAATTGGCAAAGTGGATGAGAAAAAAACATCCAGAAATACAGCATTTCTTTGACATTTGGCACATTACCAGTTATATAGAACTGTGTTCACCGGAATGTTGGATTTTTTTGCAAACTGACTTTGTAAGGAATGGCAGGAGTTTTTGCAATGCCTCTGTATTATGCTGCTCAATCTTTCGACTCAGCTCTGAGACAGTAGTACTTTTCACATTTTGTTCAGATTCAGTGTAAATTGAATGAATTTGTGGCAGCAGCCAACCATAGATGAGTAAGGTATATGTCAGATTGTTGCCAATTACCAATTCAAATTTGGGAATCATACATTCTTCCTCAAAGAGCTTTAGTCTCTGCTGGTTACTCACTGCCTCTAGATGCCAAGCTGGAATCTTAAGTTTAGCAGCTCTTTTTATTAGCAGCCTTCCGAACTTTGGTACAAATCAGTTTTTGCCTGTTCCACCACTCGGTTTTGAACTACACTTCTATGTTTGTATTCTTTGATGGGCTTCGATGGGTGGGACATCTCTGGCAAGTTCTCTGTGTGTAAAGCACCAAACCGTAGCACTTTCCTGCCAGTGTCTAATGGATAAAAAGGAATTCAACTTATTTTGTAGCATACAAATAATGTGTTTTCTGTTTAAATGAATTAAATACAGCAGAATCTAGCAAATCTAGGAAATCAAACCCCACAATATAAGAGAATTACAAATGATCATAAAAACCACCAAAATCTTCTTCAAAACCTTTTTGGGAAACAGAAAGACTTTCTCTTGAAAAATTTAAATAACTAAGCTTATTGTTACGTCGTATATATGGATAACTGACACATTTTTTCTAAAGTTTACAGTGAAAAATGATTTGAAAAATTAAATTGCTACGTTCTAATTTGGCCTGAGCAAAGCAGACGGGTTGTGCATTTGTTTTTTGTCTAAGTAGAAGCATCACACCAGACTTATTCTTAGTCACACCAGACTTACTTGTGAACTCAATATCCTCCAGTTTTTAGTGCCTCTCGCATGTCCATACATTTCCTGATGCCATCAGCTGCTTGAAGTTGGAATCTTCTTGGTGGTACTTGGTTAAGACATCAAACACAGCCTTCCTCCACAAAACATATCGCTCACTTGATCGCATGCTGACTTGCATCGCATGCATGATCACATCGCATGCAAAAATCCCTTCTCGTCTCGATCAATTTCAAAAATTTGCAAGCTGTTTCACTATGCATTGTTATGTGCCCTGTGCGTTGCCTTGCACCCATATCAGCACCTGACCTATGCGCTTTTGAACAATAAGATAATACAATAGGCTTACAGGCCAGTCACCATTCTATTGGCTATGGCCAAATCAAGCAATCAAGAGAACCAGGTACCTCTTTCCTAAAGTAGATTATATTAATCTAAAGTTAACTAGATCAAAAGTGTTTTTAAAACTTGACAGGTCTCAGGCATATCGTCAGCTTCAATTACACGAAAAAAGTCGCTACATTACCACATTAAGTACACATGTGGGCCTGTTTCGGTACAAAAGACTAAACTATGGCACAAACGTAGCTGCAGAGATCTTCCATCGGCCTTACAGGGAATTAAATGAGTTTGCAATATAGCCTAGATGAAAATATTGTCTTTGGAGTAGACCATCAAATCATGATAGAGCACTCAATGACTGCCTGCAGAAAGGTCTCACTCTGAATGCAACTAAATGCAAGTTTTTATTGAAATCATTGTCCTTCTTTGGCAGATTTTTTCAGCTGCTGGTACATGACCAGATCCAAAGCATATCTAGGAATGACCTGGGTGGTAGAGCATTTTCATTTGTTTATTTTTGAAAAGCCATTTCAACTGATCACTGATCACAAACCATTGGAAATCATATATACCAGAATTGCCATTCCACAATCACTTCAAAAGAAAGCAATAGACCTTGCACATACCACTCATTGAGGCCTATCCAAGACCAAATCATTGCCTTGAGAAAAAGTTTTGGTTTCCAGATATTGATAAGCTGGTAAAAGAAACAATTGATCAATGTCTACCTTGATCAAATCCACCAGAGCTTTTACAGATGACTGAAATGCCACAAGGCCCATGGCAGAAACTTCATGTAGATTTCTACGGACCATTGCCATATGGAGAGTATTTGCTTGTTGTTGTAGACAGATACTCGTGATATTCTGAAGTAGAAATTGTGCAATCCACAAAAGCTTCAACCGTTATACCAAAGCTGGACAACATCTTCGCTACACATGGTAAACCAGAAACACTCACATCTGACAATGGCCCACCCTTTCACTCTTTTCTGTCACATAAAATTTGAGGAATATGCTAGAAAATCATCAAATTTTGAAAAATAATTGAAAATGCAAGATATGTTTATGAAGCTTGCAAAATGGAAAATAATTTGAGTTTCAAAATAGGGCATTAAATAATAAATTTTCGCCAATTGAAAAAAAATGATGGTAGAGATTTTATTTTGACCCGGAGTCTAAGGAAAAACGATTGTGTAAACCCGCCTTTATGACTGCTTGTCTGTAGCTTAATTGGTCATAGTCCTAATTTCTTTGCAAATCGGATTTCTCAGCGTGAGATTTACAAAATTTCTCAAACAGGATATATGAGTTGACTTGCAATATCCAGCAAATGAAGAAAGAAACTTTCCAATATTTGTAACTTTTTTTAAAACATTGTGAGAACCAATGAGTTGATCTGATTGCTCAACCCCCTTCATATTTTTGTTGTGATCCTCTATTGTCTTTGGCTGAAGAAATTCTTTTACTTGAAATACACCAGTCTTGGAATCTTTCTGTCTTCTTTTGCAAGTGGATGTCTCAGATCCTGAATGAATGGTTGACAACAGAGTCACTAAATTATTGTCCTTCCACTGCTGTATCAAAACATCATTCTCTTCTCTTATCCATCTCTGGTGCCCTCTTTGTGCCTTCTTTGACCACATTTTTCGGTCCTTCAATACTTGGGAAATATTTTCTATTTCTTGCAGTCACCCCCTGCAGTTTTCTATTCCTCTATTTTTTAACTCACAGAGCAAGGGATTAGAGGAAAAGAGTCTGTAAACACTTTATAGCCTTGCCCTTTTAGATCAGCCATCAGCCCAACAACTACATCATAACAAATGCCCATTGCAAATGGTTTTTTACTGCGTTTCCCAAAATATACATCAAATGCATAAGTGTAACTGGTTTTTGAATATGCGAGTACAAAAAATTTGATCCCCATTTTGTTGGTTTGTCTTTATTATATTGCTGGATAATAAAGGGCCATTATGGGCCATGCTCCACACTTTCCTCCAAAACAATAGAACTTTTTTCAAAATATCCTGTCATGGCTGTTAAAGTTTCCCTTAGCACTTCCTCTTCCCCTTTTTCAACCTGTGTCGGTGCCCATTGATAAGAATTTGCAAACAATCTTTTGGTGGTACAAAACTAAACGTTTTCGATCTATGTTCTAACGTTTTATGCTCTGAAGAGTGCTGGACTAGAAGCTTTAGTATGACTCAAAATGTTTGCTTTTTTCAAACCCATTTTGAAATAGAATTGGTTATTTTTCAGTAATAAATAACATGCATAATCACAGAGATTGATCTACCCATTTGCAAAAAGTTACAATAAATAGTGAACGATCCTTTATTCTCTTGAGTTTCTAATCTATGTCGATCAAGTGGCAAGGTAGATATTACAGTGCAAGGAAGTACAAGAAGTCCTAGGAAGCGGTATATGTTTGGCTTACAGAGTCTGCTGATGGAAAGGGCAACGGGTAAACTGCAAACTAAGCTTGTTTTTTTACTGCGCCTGCGCATTATGACGTCATGTGTTATGGGAAAATTTGGCCTATTTTGACGTGATTTGGCTTATTTTCATAAACGGTTTGGCTACTTAGTACCCATACCATCTGGCAACCCTG